ATTAAAAATCTAGAGCTGGATGTTCCCACCCTGGAACTGAGCATGAAGTCGGTGTCCTCTACCTCTTCCTTCAAGTCTTCTTATTTATCCCCAGCCAGGCACCACGTGTTATCTTGTGGGACTTTCGGCCAACTACCTGTCACCACTCCATTTAACGGTGGCCCACTTTTGGAAAATAAACTGCTCATCTCTTGCCTCTCTTCCCCTTCCTAGCCAGTAACTTGATTCATGGCTTCCCGTTGGGCTCTTTCCTGGGACATATTAACCCCCTTCTTGTTGGGAGACCCACCAAAGTGCTTGGGAGATATTTCCTTTTGTGGGTCTGGAGAGGCTTCCCTTTTCAAGAACTTTATAAGGCGCCTGTTTACGTGTCTGCCAGAAGGTGTTGAATCAGATGGAGGGAGCCATTTTGTTGGGGCTTAAAGCCAGCCGCCTCTTCCATCTCCCCCCCCCACCTCCCCAAATTATCTGGGGAAACTGCCAAGGAACTAGAACTTAAGCCAAAGCTGGAGCTATAACCAGCCAGACCAGAAAATGGGACGCTACCCTCCCCCAATTTTCTTCAAGCAGCACACTCGTATGCCAAGTTGGGGATTAATAACTTTAAGAGGAACTACGGATCATACTTGGCTGTAGAGGTAAGCACCAGGACAAAGTTGCACACGGTCTCTTCTCTCTGCAGCTGAGATGCCTGCAGGGGTGGTAGAACTGCAATACAACCGGCGAGATATATTTATTTGTTCTGCGTCATGCTCCAATCAACTCATAAAGAATTGGGATCGTCATCTAAGCAGCTCCAGGGAAGCTTAAAAACAGCAATCTGTAGAGATTCTCGGTCATCCAGGTCATGGTTGTCCCAAAGGTGCTTAAGGAAGGAATATAAATTCTCCCATTCCCCACTATCCTCTCAGAGCCGAAGAAGCTTCTTGGATGAGAAGCAAAATATCTTCAAAGGAAAAAAAAAAACAAGAAAGTCCAGGAGCCTCCAGAAAAAGCACATTTGGGTTTAAAATGGTAGGTTTTGATCAAACCTCCGTCATTTTACCAGCAGCAAGGGCACAACTGAGGGCCAATAACTGAGGGCCATGCATTTAAGCCTGGCTTGCTCCATTTTGCGACCTTTCTTGCCAGAGTTGTTAAGTGGACTTTACAGTTGTAAAGTTAGTAACTTGGTGGTTAAGTGAAACTGACTTCCCCCTTGGCTTTGCCTGTGAGAAAGTCACATAAGGGGATCATACGATCTCAGGATGCTGCTAGGGTCATAAATAGGAGTCAGTTCCAAGCGTCTGAATTTTGGTCATGTGACCGTGGGGATGCTGCAATGGTCGTAAGTCACTTTTTTCAGTGCTGTTGAAACTTTGAACGGTCACTAAACAAACTGTTGTAAGTCGAGGGCTACCTGTAACTGCCCCCATTGAGGACTTCATGTACAGATGTAGATGAGAGAGAAAGTGAGAGGAGAAAGTGGAGATGCTCACCTGAATAAGTGGACTGTTCAGATGTGTTGAACTTAGAGTAGAGCAGAGCAGAGCAGAGCAGAATAGAATAGAATAGAATAGAATTCTTTATTGGCCAAGTGTGATTGGACACACAAGGAATTTGTCTTTGGTGCATAAGTTCTCAATGTACATAAAGAAAAATAAAATAGTATACATTCATCAAGAATCATAAGATACAACACTTAGTGATAGTCACAAAGTGTTAGGATAGTCATTAAGTGTTGAACTTAAGTTTCTATTATCCCAGGCTATGGTAGCTAGAGATGGCCAACAAACCAGGATGGCACCAGATTGAAGAAGTTTCACACTTGGCAACTTTTAAGTTGTGGGGACTTCAGCTTACAGAATTTCCCAGTCAACCATGCTAGCTGGGGAATTCCGGGAGCTGAAGTCCACCCAATGTAAAGTTATTAAGATTAAAAGTTGTTAAGCCGATTTACATCTGGACATGAAAGCATAAATTGGGATGTAGCTGGCTGTGTTGGTTTGAAACACATTTTCCCTTCAGCTCTTGCTGTGTTTTTCATTTTTCTTTTAATAGTTTAAAAAGAAAACATTACAAAGCCGGTGTATCTCTCTGGAAGGAACTGGAAGCTACTATTCTAAACAGATCCACTGAGGAGCTGGAGTCCTTGATCTCTCAGGGAATTATTTCTGAGCAAACAGGGTTAGAATAACTTTGCTCCTGTGGCTCCTCCTGAGTTCAAAGCAGGGTGGGTTAAAAAAAAATTAGGCAAATTGTGCAGTGTTTACCACAAAGCTTCCTTGGTATTATGAAGTTTGTTTTTCTTTAAAAAAAAAAAGATATATAAAGAAAGGGAAGTTGCATGCAGTGAACCAATCCACCAATCTTGCTTATTTTGTTAATTCAAGGTCTCCAAGCATGACACTGGTCGCCTCCTTGCATTTATGGAAATAAAAAAGGGGGGGCGGGTGGATAGAGTCTATTCACTCTAGTGCTTTTTGCAAAACCTTGCTGGCAAGGCAAAAATAGGTGGCCTGTTCTACTTGTTTGATTTTTATGTCGTCTTCTGATCAGTGGCAACTTCCTGAACTTCTGGAAACTTCCTGAAGTAGCCCCTACAATTTTCTGAGCAAGATTTCAGAAGTCATTTACCATTGCTTTCTTCCTTGGGTTAAGACAGTGCCTGGCCCAAGGCCATCCTGCTGACTTCATGTCCATGGCAGGACTAGAATTCCTGGTCAATCTGTTTCTAGCCTGATGCCTTAACTTAGTATTTCTCAATCTTGTCATTTCTGAGAGGTGTGGACCTCAACTCCTAGAATCCCCCAGCCACCATGGCTGGCTGGAGAATTCTGGGAGTTGAAGTCCGCACATCTTGAAGTTGCTAAATTGAGAAACATTGCCTTAACCACTACAGAAATATTAGCTCGAAAGTAGTTTGAGTAATAAAAAACATCTGGAGGCACAGTAGAAGGAAAAATTGGTGATGGGGTGCAAACCTTGCTCGTTATTTTTCCAGTAAGTGTCCCTGGACCAACTGAAAGTTTGAACATTCGTAAGAAGGTCTCTAATTCCTCATCTACCATTGCCCACCCCCCACCCCCCCAAAAAATTATCTACTCTGTTGAACTAAGATTAGTAAAATGAGAGCGAATTAGTGGGTTATCCTGCTGGAATAAATATAGCGCCAAGACATTTTTAAAAACAATTTGACAGCCAAAATAAAATAAGATTAAAAAGCTGGGTTCCCATTTGCACTGAGCCATTGAATGACTTTCAACGGTTAGTTTCTTTAAGTTACAACATTCTATCCTTCTCCAGGTAGCCATGGTGGAGGTGCAGCTGGAAGACTACGACTACCCTTGGCAGCTGCTGGTGGCCTTCAGTGCCTGCACGACGGTCCTGGTGGCCGTCCACCTCTTCGCTCTTATGATCAGCACCTGCATCTTGCCCAATATTGAAGCCGTCAGCAACATCCACAACCTCAATTCGGTCAACGAGTCTCCCCACGAACGAATGCACCACTACATTGAGCTGGCCTGGGGCTTCTCCACAGCCTTGGGGATCTTCCTCTTCCTCGCTGAAGTGGTGTTGATCTGCTGGGTCAAGTTTATGCCTGTCGGCAACATGGGGGCAAGCAGGAAGTGCTGCGCTCCAGAAAGGCCCCACGATGGCAACACCACAGCCCCCATAGACAGCTCTGGCTGGAATGCTGCCATGGCCTCCACGGTGATTATGGTTCCAGTTGGCGTCGTGTTCATCATCTTTGCTTTGCATTTCTACCGCTCCTTGGTGGGACACAAAACTGACCGGCATCAGCAAGAGCTGGAAGAACTTAACCAGATCAAATATCAGTTGGACGGAGAAGCCACATCTCTGCAAGTGGTGTGAGTTGGCAGCCTCACTTGAACTGCAACTGATGTGAACTTTCGGAGAGAAAGGCCCCGCTGACGTCGGTTGTATCCTGATTTTGTCTCGACGGAAAAACTGTTAAGTAACTGCCACTGTTGGAATTTAACCCCAAAGCTGTGGTGTTGATGTCACTCCACAGTCTTCCAACGTCCCAACATGTATTTGCATTTCCTAGGAGACAATTTTCAAGACCAGGAGAAATGGTTGCTCTTGAAAAGAGCAGGGAGTGAAATCTAGGGAGCCTTCCCTGGGGAATGCCCGTTTGGTAGATTTTCGATCCTACAGTAAAATGTTTACAGGAGGCAGTTGTTGAGGGGGAGGAGGGGGAGGAGGGACAGCTTTAGCCTCTCCAGGGGTGAGACTGTTGCTTTGTCCTGTAAGATTTCAACTTTGTCTGCAGAACAGAAGATAATCAAAAGGTCTTTGGTATTTCTGACATTTTGAAATGGGTGGGTTCAGTCCGTTTCCCACTTCCCTCAGTCCATTTCCCTCTTCTTCTCATCTTTGTACATAAGAAATGGTAGAGTTCACCAACCAAGATTCGTTGGGCTAACTTTTGAACAGGTGTTCGACCTGCTAGGTCCCTAGCAGGCCTAACATTGTGGCCTAATTAAGTCCTGACATTCTCAAGCTGATGTCCCCTTCAGCTTTCACTGTGCAGTTCCTCTTGCTGTTTGTTGGACAATCTGAAGATATCCCCAATACCAAACCTTTCCATCAGTTTGATGGAGAGTGGCTGCATCTCCAGACGGCCTAGCCTTGGATTCTCAAAGGGGCTAGGAAGTATTTGCATCTTGGACTCGGCATTGTAAATGCAATTCTTCCAGTTAGTCCCTTCCCCCGCCCACCATTTTTGGGACACCCTGAATCCCACATTCCCAGGCAGGGTGTTTGACCTAGCACATCTGGAAGGCACCAGGATGGAGGACACTGTTCTGTAGCCAAACTCTTCCCATGCAGTCTATGCCATTCCTCAAATGCTTGTTTGCTTACCTCTTTGGAAACTTGGCATCAGTTTTGGATCATTGTCAGAATTGGGGTCGGTACAGAAAGTTGGACTTCTGACCCAGGAATTCCTGGAACATGCATATTATCCCCATATATGTGCTTTGCCCCCAGTCATAAATTGTCTGCCCCTCCCTAGGGATCCTTATTTATAGAGACAAAGTCACACAGTATCCTGGGGGGGACGGGACGACACAGACCCCGGAGGGGAGGGGGACGACAACGGAAGGGACAGACTGCTTGGCTCCAGTGGGAGATGGCTTCATTGCTTGGGGTATTTTTCCAGAGGAGAAAGCAGACTATTGGGGTGTGGTAGAAGTTAAATAAATCTAAGTCCAGTTTAGGAATTTGGGGGTGGAATTTTGCTTGCCCCTTGTGTTTTCTTTCAAGGACAGATTTGGCCTCAGTCTTTGGTGAGGAGAGCCACTGAGCGTTAAAACCAATCTTCTCTCTTTCCACCTTCCTCAACTTCCTGTCTTGCACAGATGTGGACCACAATCTTATCTTATGGTTGAAGATGCTGAGAGCGGCAGTTGTAGACAGGAAATGCCACATTCTAGAAGAAGATGTCTGAAGCAAGAACGTTAGACCAAGATATCACAGGCAGCTCTCTATCGAATATGTCACAAGACGTACATATGGGTCTTTATCCAAGGAAATGGCCACAGTGGAAGGTTTCCTGCTGAACAGGAAGTAGAGCAGCTTAAGCCTTCGGTCTTCAGCTGTTCATCTCTTCATGAATGTTCAGATGTTCTCCCTTAAGAGTTCTGCTTCCTCAGGATTAGGAGCCACATGCATCCATTTTGGGGAGCAAAGTAGTTGGAGATAATTGGGACGATGGAAAAGATATTTTTGAATGGATAAAAATAACCTGTCTTTTCTCTATCATGGATTCTATAGTTGTTTTATTGGACAAGGAAAACACATCTTCAAGATGTGCATGTAGGAAGATTGGGGATCAAAGCAGAATTAGATGTACAGGAAGCCCAGTTCACATTCCCAGCAGCTGGAGGTCAGTTTCTCAACCTCAGCAACTTTAAGATGCATGGAGTTCAAATCCCAGAATTCCCCAGTCAGCATGGGAGGGTGAATTCTTCAATTCTGGGAGTTGAAGTCCATGCATCTTAAAAGTTGCTGAGATTGAAAAGCAGAGTGCTACGTCACGCAAGCAGTAATGAGAAGAAGAAAAAATGCATGGAAGTTGGCTGGGGATACTGCTAAAAATATCTGAAGCACAGCGGCTGCTAAATATTCAACACTCTTCTATCAAGCAATGCTTTACTTTCCGGTTAAAAAATGAATTAATTTAGTTTAATGAGGCCAGCTCAATTACTTGTGCGTCCCAGAGCTTGGCTTTTAAAAGTATTAGGGAAACCAGTTTAGTTTATATCAGCCTTGACTAGCCTGGCTTCTGAATGCACTGGAACACAGCTTCCCTATAAATCTGAGTTGGAATGATCATGGATTTTGTAGTCTAATGCATCTGAGACGCAAAGGTGGTTTACATCTTAATCACGCAGGACTAGAGTTTTTACACTTGTGAATGGTACACAACTAAAAGCTTGGTACACGCTTTATCATGTATTCTCGAACTCATTTCTATTACTGAAGGACAGCGACTACCAATAGGGGCATGTTTATGTATATAAATAAAATGTTTTTAAAGAAAAAAAATGAAGTTTGTCAAGTCAAATTATTAAAAGAATAGACTGAAATTAACTGATACATCACTCCCAGAGTTATTACAAGCTCTGCGTAAATCATGGCTTCCCCAACTGGTATCCCTGCATTTAGAAAGGGATCACTCATCAGTGTTCTTTAGCCCAACTTTTGCAGTAACGATGTTTGACATGCTCAGATTTTATTACATGGGATTGTATACAGGAACATTCATCCAAGATGAGACATGCAGCTGGAACGGCTCAACTTGGATTGGATATTCTCTCTTTCATCTGCCGCTGTTGTATTGTAGACATACTCAAAAACATTTTATTGTTGATTCTTACTTTGCATTTTGGGGGGGGGGAATGCAAATTTATCCCTAATCAGGAAAAAAAAAATCCAGAGGGACTGTTCCTGTTGCAGGAGCTGTGAAGTTTAAAAGGCCAGATTGGTGCTCTGTCTTGATAGATGCTTCCTGGAATTGCATTTTTGACAGATTGAACACTGACCTGCTCTGTTTAGTGAAAAGATGGTACAGAGCACAGGATATTCAGAATTTGTGATTTGTGGGTTCTGCTTTGCTGTTCAAAGTTTTCAGGCAGTCATATCAGAGATTTTTCTTAATCTTGCCAGATTTCAATACTTCCATATAATTTCCAAATGTTTCTCACAATTCAAATGCTAACTGAAACATGAGGGAGTGAGAGAAACAAGACAGAATATATATATTTCTCCTTTACTTTGTCACAATATATTATCTGAAGTTTCAAATTATTAAGGCAGATGTTTAGGGAAGCCCATAGTTATTGAAAGCAGACAATCTGTTTACAGTCCAAAAGATTAGAAGAGTTAGAATAAGTGTTCATCTGTGGAACTAGCTTTGTCCAATTAATTTTGGGCCTAACAAGAACAATCACCTTTTTACTGTATAGAGCAGGGGTGTCAAACTAGTGGCCTGCAGGCCGCATGCATCATGCGCAGGCCATGCCCACCCCAGCTCCGCAAAGGGGAAAAAACATTGCGATACATCATATGATAGTGTGATGCTGCGAGTTTGACACCCATGATATAGAGAAAAACATAGCAGTGAATAAAATGGAAACGTATCCAGCCTTTTGCATTTATTTTGAATTAAAAACTGCATAGAGAGAGTAACCTTCATTAAAATTAGCAGAAAGACATCACATATAGCTTAGTACCATAGATATAATGTTATCTTGCATTCAGTTAGGCATTTGTTGAAACATACAATTTGACCAGGGTTGCAGAAACTATCACATCATAAATATGTATGGGCAGGTTGTACACATACAGTTGCAAGAAAAAGTATTTGAACCCCTTGGGATTACATGGAGTTTTGCATGAATTGGTCATAAAATGTGCTCTGAACTTCATCTAAGTCACAACAATAGACAAATTCTATCTGCTGAAAATAATACTACACAAACATTAGATGTTGCCATGGTCTAATTGAACATAACATGTAA